TATATTAAGAGCTCAATAGATGTAAGCTATCATAATAATATGAATTTTACTCTTTTGATACTTTCCCTTAAGAAATAATATGAAATGCAGACAAAGATTTATGCACAAAGATATTTATCATGACTTTAATTATAAAAAAGCAAAGAAAATTGGAATTAAATGTTCACATTATAGAAAAGATGTTTTTTCAGGTTTTTTTTTGCTTGTTTAATCAGTGCTGGAACATTATTAGAAAAACCGACCGCCACCGAGTCAATTCCAATTCATAGTAACCCTATAGGACAGGGCAGAACTGCCCTGTAGGGTTTCCAAAGCTGTAAATCTTCACAGAAGCAGACTGCCACATCTTTCTCCATGGAGCGGATGATAGGCTTGAACTGCTGAACTTTTGGTTAGCAGCCATGCACTTTAACCACTGTATCACTAGGGCTCTGGAACATTAACAGCCCCTAAAAATGATGTTTACGAAGAGTCCCTAATGACATGTAGAAATATTGATAGTATTGAGTGACAAATCACTATATGACATTTAATATGTTCTTATCTATGTAAAAATCTATATATGTAAAATTGTATAGACAATGGACTAAAAGAGAAAATGTTAATGTTAGTAGTGATTGACTCTGAAAGGCCTACTTTTTTTCTTTTGCTTATTTTTATGCAAAGGTGATTTTTATGCTTATTTGTTCTTTGTAAAAATATTTTTCATATTTTCTTCCATGGATTACCTTGTAGTCAGAAAAATAAACCCTAAAGATCCCTGTTTGAGCCTCACTTGGCCCCTGTCTTGTGCAGAAGATCACAGTGGCCCCTGGGCTTGAGCCTGCAGCATGCTTGCAGGTGGTGCCCAGTGGGACTGGCCAGTTGTAGCTTGTCATGCCTGAGCTCTGTAGTTTGCCCTGGGAAGTTATCCTTTTCTGGTTGTAAGTTAAAATACTGGTATTAATCCTCAAGTCCTTGTGGCTCTGATTTCTGGCTTCTTTCCCTGTAGATCATTGCTCATTTTGAGGTCTCTTAAGGAATTCTGTCCTACAAAGAGACTTTGACTTCAAGCCTCTGAAGACAAAGACATTTCCTACGTTTTATGAATTTTTTATTCTTTTATGCTTAGTTTAATAAAAATTAGTCAACCAACATTCAGAGCAGGATTTCAGAGTGTTATCTTTTTAAGTAGTTTTCTGTTGGAAGCTTGTATATGACAGAGTTGGAAGGGAGGTTTGCACAAATGGATTAACGTGGGTCTCACTCAGATTGTTGTTTTGGAAAGAATCTATTCAAGGGGTTGGATGTTCGATATGACTTTTTACACCATGGAATGAATATAGGTCATGAGCAAGTAAGAGTTAGAGAGTCCGGCTTTCCAAACTCAGGTACCGTCTCCTTGTGTCAGGTAAAATTGTAAACTAACTTGGATTAATGTGATGCTAAGGGCAACCTGCAGTTTGATTGTGTTATATTTTTCCAGTGTCATTTATTGATTTCTCCTTCGCCTCTGGGTACTCACTCCATCATGCAACATGATGTGGCTAGGGATTCATCTGATGCATTCTTGTGGCTTAACAAGGAGCCAAGGAGAGGCAGAGGCCTTGAGTACTTTCGGAGTCTCTGAAAGTCTTGAGCTCTTTTGGGTATTTGTATACCAAAAGCAGATCCAAACAGCTCCATCTCGTTTAAGACTTTCAGGGAAGGAGACTTGATTAGGAGAATGGAAGAAGTTGAGAGTTATGAGGAATCCCTACATTTATCAGACAGAGGCAGAGAAGAGGATCTAAACAAGAGGAGAAGCAGGTGAAAGCATACTGAGGGGAGAACTTCCAAGTGCAATGTGTTGCAGAGGATTCAGGTAAGATAAGGAATTAGTGGAGGTCATTAGGTTTGGTCATTAAGAGGCCATCAGAGACCTTTTCAAGAGCAATACCACAGTAGAATTATGGATGTTGAAGACAAATTACAGTGAGGTGAGGTGTGAGAGAAGCAAGGAAGTTGGGTGGTGAAGGGAAGACAAGAGATGGGGTGGTTTAGAGAAAAGCTTTGGGGAGGTAGATAATGCAGAGCATATTTGAATGTTGGGGTGAGGGAAACAGTGAAGAGAGATAGGGGATAAAATGTGGAATAATGCTGAGAATTGAATCAAGAATATGGGTGGAAGAATTAACCATTTCATCCTCAGAGATGGGAGGAAATAAAATAAAAATGGGTAAAGATAGATGTTTTGAGGTTAAAAGGAAGAAATCAAAGGTGTTCATGCTTGATGGGCTGAATGAAGTAGAAGATGAGATCACCTGTGAGAATGTGGGGAGTCTCTGGGTGATGCAAATGTTAATGCACTCAGCCGTTAACCAAAAGATCTGGAGGTTTGAGTGCCTTGGAAGAAAAGCCTGATGAACTACTTCTGAAAAATCAGCCATTGAAAACCTTATGGAGCACGGTACTGCTCTGACACACATGGAGTCACCATGAGTCAGAGTTGACTCAGTGGCAGCTTTTATTTATATTTTTAGTGAGGATGTGGAAATTGGACAGAGTAGGGTTGTTGACTTGAGTGGTAAAGATTTAAAGCGTGTCGTGAGGTTGGGAAGAAAGGTTCCTAACCTAGCTCTAGCTTCCTTTAGAAGTAATTAACACACATTACATTCCTCATTTAAACAACTTCTAGAGATCCTTAAGATCAGACAAATCCATAAATACTTATTTATGTGCCCGTACAATACTCCAGAGATGTGCCTACTTTCTCTTCAAAGCATCCCCTTGGTGATTATTCTTTCTCATTTGTCTAATTGCATCCTGAGGAAAACTTCAGTTAGATGCAACCCATCTTTAGACCACTGAACACCTGCAGATCTTGTTTATGCATGTCAGAGCCCAGAATGCTCTGTAAACACTTGCTATAAAGAGGAAGAAGCTATGACTTTTCAAATAATGGATCCTTGAATCATAAGTGTTTCCCAGGTTTCCAGTCCGAATATTGACCCACTCATTAAAGTACTTTTGAAGCTTTTCGGACCTCCTTTTTGTACCCCTAGGATTGTTCACCTGACACTGTGGGGAGAACATAGGGAAAAGAGAACTAAACGCTCGGCATTCTGTGAAATCCATATACCCACAGGGGTAAATAGCTTCCTTATCGTATTTCTCTTAATACAGTCATCATTTCCTTTATAATTTACTGAAGAGCTGTAATGAGGATTAATTTGGCTCTTAGGATATCATGAATTGTTCCTAATATTGACAAAAGCCTGTTTGTAATTTGAAACTCTCAAAGTTCAGAGAAAGGTCAGGGGCTATTAGGTTACATGCTGCTAGAAGTCAGAATTTTTGAGAAGACACTTCTGGCTCAACTCCTAGGGTGGCTGTAAAGGTCCTAGAAAGGTTTCTCATGCAGATGCGTGAGCTCTGGGCTTGGGCGTGAGATCTGCTTCTTGTACAGGAAACACGTCTCAGATGATCAGCAATTAAGGAAGTGTATCACTAAAGGTAGAGAGATAAATTCCTGTTTTAACAGATTTCAGGGGACAGACTGTTTTATTGACGTGGGTTTTTTTTTTTTTTTAGGAAAACATTGCTAGAAATCACAATAATTTTTACCTACAAGGCCTTGAGTTGAAACAAGACATAGCTGGTCCCTGAATGGAGAATTACCAGTTGCTGTTGAGTTGACTCCGACTCATAGCGACCGCATGTGTGTCAGAGTAGAACTGTGCTCCACAGAGTCTCCCTTGGCCGACTTTTCAGAAGTAGATTGCCAAGCCTTTCTTCTTTCTTCTGGGGCAACTCTGGGTGGCTCTAACCTTTTGGTTAGTAGCAGAGCGCATTAATCATTTGCACTACCCAGGAACTCCTGGGTAGAGAATCAGCAAGTGCAAATGTGTGCTTTGAATCCTACAGAGGAAAATGGAAAGGACTTATAACCAAAACTCTTTCTTCTCCTTTCCTAGGTCTTTATTCTTTTTTCATTTTGGTGGGTAATTTAGGACTTATGATTTTTCTTCCCCCTTTGGAATGGAGGATAGTAAATGGAAATTGAAGGGTAATTACTAATTGAAGGCAGGCCAGAGGGAGTTTTTACCTACAATAGGAGCTGAATACCATCAAATTCTTCTGTGAGTCAGAATTGACTTGATGGCAGTGGGTTTGGTTGGTTTTTTTTTGTTATTATCATATGGGTGAGAACAAGTCAGTGATGACCATACAAGATAATTTGATGTATAGCTTTAGTCAGAGTCCTGGTGGCGTAGTGGTTTAGAGCTCAGCTGCTAACCAAAAGATTGGCAGTTCAAGTACACCAGCCACTCCTTGGAAACCCTGTGGGGCATTCTGCTCTGTCCTATAGAGTTGCTAGCAACAGGTAATGGGATTATAGCTTTAATCACAACTGGTGCTTCTGTGAACAATGTAATGGGCCATGAAAATGACTTTTCAACTCTCAACTCTTCTTTGTGCCTCTAGTTTACCTCTAGTTAAAGACTAAAATTTTGCACCAACTCAACCCAATTGTCTCCTAACCCCAGTCCCTCCCTACAGAAGGCCAAGACTGGTATTCTGACTCTGGAAGGCCATATTTGCTGAGAAGAAGCCCATGTGGAGGACATTGATCATAGCATGGGAGCACTGTGAATAGGGCCACCCTGTAATCTAGTTCTCAGAGCCCTTGGAGAAATGTTGATAGCATTGGCAATACTGTTTCTGTTACTGTGACACTTCTCTCTATACGTCTAGCAAGTATCTATTACATGCTGCTTCAGTACTTGAAGGTCGCTCAGTTGGATAGGGATGAAAACTTAATCCCTGTGCTGGGCCTGATCATTTGCTGAAAACCTCAAACACTCAATTTGTACAGGTCCCAAGCTTCTACTTTACTGACATATACTGCCTTTGGGCTACTTTCCGGCTGTCTGTGCGGCAGTGTTGGTAATTGAAATCCCTTCTGCCCATTGGCACAGTGATTAGGCTTTGTGCTCATGAGCGTTCGTGCCTTCTGTGTGCTCCCCTGCCTTTTCCAGACTGCCATCCTCTGTGCCAGCATTGTGCAGCTGATCTCCACAACACTGGGAGCGTGTGCCTGCGGTGCCAGAATTCCCGTTACCTGCTGCTGGGGGACCACTGTGCTCCTCACTGCCCTTCTGGATACTATGCGGAAAAAGGAGCTTGTAAAAGTAAGTGCTAGACACAGAAGCTGGAGGTGCCTCATGAGCTTCTCTTTGGGACTATAACTGAGAAGGCTAGACCTTCCCGAGAGAGAAGAAGCAGGAAGCATACTGTGAGACTATAAACCACATTAGCTAATGCTCTGAGTGTTGGGGCTTTTCTCAGTGGTATTTGGGATGCTGCTGTGGAAAGGAGTCTGGCTTTACAGGGTCTGTTTGTGTCTCTTTTCCTTCTGCAGGATGTCACTCCTCCTGCAGAACCTGCCAGGGCAAAGGACCCTTCTCCTGCTCCTCATGTGACACCAACCTGGTTCTGTCCCACATTGGCACCTGCACCAGTACCTGCTTCCCTGGGCACTATCTGGATGACAACCGTGCTTGCCGGCGTAGGTTTTTTTTTTAAATGAACTTTCTCTCCTTTCCTGCTGTTCTGGGGTCATCAAAGGAAATGTGAAGTCTTCCTTCCAAATTCTCACCTGGTAGCCTTTGTTTTCTAATAAGAGAAAGAAAACTAATCTACAAAGGTGATATGGATATCATTACCAGTAAACCAGTTGCCATCAAGTTGACTCCGACTCACGGTGACCCCATGTATGTTAGAGCAGAACTGGGCTCTATGGGATTTTCAATGGCTGATTTTTCAGATGTAGATTGCCAGGCCTTTCTTTGGAGGTGCCTCTGGGTAAACTCAAACTTCCAACCTTTTGGTTAGCAACCGAGCGTATTAGCCATGTGTACCACCTAGGGACTCCATGATGCCATTAGCAATTTACAACTCAGATATCTGCCTAATTCAAGTGCTGGGCTAGGGGTCTTCTCTGCAAATATCAGCTCTGTGATCTTGGGGAGGTCATTGAACCTCTCTAAATGAAGGTATTAGTCTATTTGTTCTTTAAGGTTTCTTTCAGCAAACCACTTTCATGATCTGTGCAGAGAGCGCAGCCTGTTCTCGTATACAATCAGTCACCTAAATATTTCTCCAGATTTAATTTGTTCCAACGTGTATTTGTCGAATATTGACTATCTGTAAGGTCTTACCTGGTGCAAAGCATTTGGTTTTTGCCCAAAGAGCAGTCATTTTGTTTTGCTTGAGACTTCCTTATACAGATGTCTTATTTCTCAAATATAAGTCAGAACATTATTAATTATCATGAGCCAGGCACAAACAAAGAGTTAGGATAAATTAAGGAAAGGGAAAATCTGGGTGGAAAAAAAATTAGGAAATTCTTCATGGATGAGGGAACATTTGTGATAGGCTGAGGTAGCTTACTTTATTTCAATCACTGAAGTGTCATTTGCTCTCCCCCCCAAAAAATTATTATGCTTTTTCCTTTCAAAAATTACAGTTAACAAATATAGGGCTGATATTTCAATTTTTTTGTTCTAGGAAGTACCATGTTGAAGGAATTTCAGAGTAGTAGTTAGGAGAGTAAGTTCTAAAGTCAAATGACTAAAGTTCAAATTGTAATTACCAGTTATCAACTTTTGTGACCTAGAGCAAGTGAATTAACCTCTATGCCTCAGTTTCTTTATCTGTAATGGTACCTACAATCTAATGTTGTTACATTTAGCACAGACCCTAGCAGAGAATACGTTCTCAGTGTAGATTAGCTATCATTATCATCATCTGGAATGTGAGGTAAAAGGAAACAAAAAAGATATTTATATTTTATAGACAGATATTACTTTTAGTTCATTGAGATAATTACAAGGGTTTGCGTTTGAAGTGAAGTCGTATGGAACTCACTATTTTGCACCAATGCTCCTTAGAAGCTAGGATGGCGAGACTTCATCTCACATACTTTGGACATGTTATCAGGAGAGATCAGTCCCTGAAGGACATCATGCTTGGTAAAGTAGAGGGTTAGCGAAAAAGAGAAAGACCCTCAACAAGATGGATTGATACAGTGCTGCAGTAATGGGCTCAAGCATAGCAACAATTGTGAGGATGGTGCAGGACCAGGCAATGTTTATCGTTCTGTTGTGCATAGGGTCGCTACGAGTTGGAAACTGACTCGATGGCACCTAACAACAAATTTTGCATCATCTGCCAAGATACCAGAAATAAAAATCTTTTCTGGGCCAGTGAGAAGACTTCTTTACTTCTATAACAAAAACTGTACTTGGTATATATCAACTGTCTGCCAGAATCTGTAGATTCTGTAATACAAAAGACACGAGTGAAATACTTGCATGTTCTACTCAAGAGCAAGAGTGTTGGTGGAGAAATGATGACTTAGATTTATGAGGCTCTTCATAACAGTAGAATCACAAAAATAAAAGTTCAAAAGAAAAAATAGCATCCCTGGTTTGGAGTATAGGTGACAAAACTGTGCAGCATTGGAATATTTCTCTGTTAGGAGGCTTTTGCCCTGGTGCAGGGTGACCTCTGCACAGATGCATTTGCTGTGCTACCGTGCAAATAGAATTTTATAGAATATTTCAGTTGAATTAGGGCTCTCCTAGTTTTAGTCCTTTGCTAAGGTTTAAGTTTCATTCTTTCTAAGCCTGAGTAAAGTATGCCCTTAGGTTGGACTATTTGGGTTTCTAGTATGTAAAAAAAAAAAAAAATTTTTAAATCAGCAATGTCCCTTTCTAGTGCTCATCATTGTAGACAGTTACAGGCATACTAGTTGTGGAAATTATACAGTAAAGGACTTTTGAGGCTACGTGATCAGGAATAGTAGGAGGCATTAATGACCATGCTATAGCAAAAAGTAAGAACTGAAGAGCTGTCTTCTGAAAAGATGCTGTCATTTTCGATTTTTCAAAGGAGCTAACCTGGTAAATCTACACTTTGGTTACAGAAATTTCTAGCAATTATGTGTTTTAACTGACCTCTGAATTTTAAGGATGACCAGTTGAGGAAAGAACTTTGAACAAGAGGTAATAAATAAGGTTCTCAGTACTTGAAACCAGAGGGCTATGGAGCTGGAGGTGAACTCCGAGATTACCCAAGCCTACCTTCCATCTGATAACAAGGATTCTTTTACATTCTCCCTCACAAAGCTCCACTGAGGAGAAAGGAAGCCAGTTCCTTTGTTGGGGACTGTAGTTGTTTGACAGTTCTTTCTGGTCAGTCCTAGAACAGAAAGGAACAATGTAGAATAAGTTTTCTTCCTTGTTCACATGCTTACCTTCAAACATTTGAAATTAACCGTCATTTCCCACCTGGACTTCTCTGCTCCAGGCAGAACTGGAGCTAATGGAGTATTTAAGCAGAATTGGATAATGGTTTCAGATGATCTCTCAGACCTAGTTAGAAAACAGGCCTAGTTCAGAGGAAGAGTGGACTCAGTCACCTGTAGGTCCTTTCCTGCTCTATGAACAATGATTAAAGTATATCCCTGCTTTCTTCACTGGTTTCTGGTCTTCCCTCTACACTGTCCTCTTGGCACTCTCCATGGGGACAGTGACCTTAGAGAATTGCACCTGGTACTCCAGCTGTGGTCACATCAACATACTTTGCGACAGGATTAATGCTTTGTGTGATCTAAATATAAGAAAATGGAGAAAATGCTCCTTACACATGTTTCTCTTGAGATGGAAGCTGAGAGCCCAAGGGGCTTTGGTATGTGCAGAGCTACCCTCTGTGACACAAGATCAACCATTTGCTGATGACCTTGGAGAGAGGTGAGGGGTTAAATGATAGAGGGACAAGGATGGGGCCAGAAAATGGAGGAAATCTCCTATTCTGCAATGTGACATAAAGCCTTTCAACATTTCAAAATTAATCGGTTTGTTTTGGAAGTCAGTGGAAGGACTTGGTTGTGCATTGAGGTACTGAGGAGAAATAAAAGACTGATTGCACATAAGGATTAAGGAACATGGAGGCAAGGAACATGGAGGCTTCAGGAAGTAAACCACAAGAAACAGATACCAAGGACAGGGCATTGACCTGCCCCCCAGGCTCAGGACCTGGCGTTTGGGCCTAATTTTGCACCTCATTGTCAAGCAGGAAGGTCCAGCTGATATTTAGGCTACATGAAGACTCTTCAACTTAAGACTGTGTTCATTTCCTTAATAACTGTATCATACTTTTAGTTTATGTTAAGCTTTTAATCAACTAAAATTCTTAGATTCTTTTTTATAGAAACTGCTGGTTGAACCAGTCTTCCCTATCCTGTATTTATATGTTTGGTTTTACAACATAAATGTAGGAAATTACTTATCATTCTGCTTATTTCATTTGATAACCTTTGGTTTTGTGTTTTAAACTGATTAACATAGCTTTGAATTATTATTCTTTCAGGGTGATACTTGACTGTGTGTATTTCCTATATAGGTGCATGTGGCATGATTTCTTTGTTTTCAGTAAAGTCATTAATATAAATATTGATCAGGTAAAAAAATTAAGACTTGATCACTCACTATAATACCTACTAAAAACATTTCTCTACCAATTACAAAGATTTACTGATCACTTTCTTAGTATGTATTTCAACTATCATCAAATCCACCTAAAACTACTGGGCCTCACTTCATTTTTATATTCACAAGTTTATTGGTGGGATCTTCGATAAAGGCTTTGCCAAAATTCAGGTATGCCATGTGCAGAAATTCTAGCAGAAAAGGATAAAAGTTTAGTCTCATATATGCTTACAGCAATTAAAATACTGTTTCCTAATTATTCCCAAACCGTCTGTTCGAAAATCTAGTCAAGAATTTTCCTAGGACCTTAAATTGCCAATCTACGTTTTCTAATGAATATTTTACATCAATGGCTTTCCTTGTAGTTAAAACAGGAGGACCTGATATCTTTTTATTTTATAGGGAGAGAATTTCCCTGCTTTTGCCACAAGCTTTGGTATCCTGTAGATCTAAATCTTACTTGATTGTTCCCTAGACTTTTCCTCTGGCACATACTTGGAAAAGATTTTAGAATGCGGCAGAGATGCAGGTGTTTGTGTATATATAATTACAATATCAGTCTGCTTTCATTTATGCATGAAGTATCTGCTGAAGACTTACAATATGAGAGGCAGCCATTTAGGTTCTGGTGAATATTACAAGGAACAAAATAAACTTGGTCTTTGTTTTCTTGAAGCTTACAGCTTAGAGGATATGTAGATATTAAACAATTAATTGCTTAAATAAAAATTGTTTTGCATGGCATGAAAGAAGTGTATAGGGTGTTCTAAGAGCATGTAACTGGGAGATCTCCTTTGGACTGGAGAGTCAGGGAAGGCCTTCTCGAAGAACAAATGGAAGGATTAGTGTGAGTTAAAGATAAGAGACTTGGAGATTATATTGAGAGAGTCCAAATGTGTGTATTAGGATTTCCAGTTGGAGAGGTTGAGGGGAATGGTAAAAGAGCAAAATTTCCAGAAATGATGGCTGGGAATTTTCCAGGATTGAAGAATGGCATGAGTTCTTAGGTGAAAGTGTCCTCAGAAACCTGAGCAATATGAATTTAAAAAATCATTGTGGTGGATGCATGGAAAATAAATTGCAAAGTTTTCAGATTCCATATGGGTAAAACAATTAGGAAGCTATGACAGTAGTCCAGCAGGAGATGACGATGGCTTGGACATATTGGTATTTGTGGAGATGGAGAAAACAAAGAGATCTGAGAGTTATATAGAAGAGATAGAATAAATAGGAATCTGTGATTGATTAGATTAGGGATGAGTGAAAGAAAGGTGTCAAGATGGATTCCAGGGTTTGTAACATGAACAACTGAGTAGATGGAATTGCCAGGTATTAAATTGAGGAAGATGGAAGCATGACCAGATTTGGGGATTATCCCTGAATGCCTGAATAAAGTGGCCGCTAAGAATTACCGGGAGTCCTGATGGCACAATCGTCAAGCAGTTTGAATCCACCAGCGACTCCTTAGAAACCCTGTGGGGCAGTTCTACTCTGTCCTAATGGGTTGCTATGAGTTGGAATCGACTCGACAGCAATGGGTTTGGTTTGGTTTTAAGAATTACAACTGGGCAAATCAATAAACCAGCTCACCTTTAAGTCCTTTATATCTTAAAATATGGGATCCCCTGAGCTCCACAATAAAGTTGGAGGCGAATTTTAATCTTTGCATTACACAGAAGTCTGAGACTACAGCACAAAGTGTAGGGGGACTTGATTCCTTTCAAAAGAAGTAACGTTCAAATAAAACTCTGGAGCATAATTCCGGAGATCTTGGAATAAGTTTAAGTCCTATTGCTGAATCAGGGCAGTTTGAATTTGGAACTTCCATTCTTGGATTTATAATTTATCTCCTCTGGAGAATAAGATTACCCTGTTTTTATTTTGCAAAATAAAATAAAAATATTTCCTGTTGCTGTTCATCACAGGGGAGGGTTATGAACCATAATTAAAGAACAGATTGGTGCAGGGCTTCGTTCCTTTACAGCATCTGTCTAGGTTTGATCAGTGCTTCACTGTTTGCAATTGTAATCATTTGGTTATTCTTTTCCTATCTGCTTAGCATGCAATACACGTTGTCGAAGCTGTGATTCACAGGCCAGCTGTACCTCCTGCCGAGATCCAAACAAGGTCCTGCTCTTTGGGGAATGTCAGTATGAGAGCTGTGCACCACAGTACTATCTTGACTTCTCCACCAAGACATGCAAAGGTAAAGCTCTTCCTAAATTGTGTAAGGATTCTTTTATTCATTGATACCCCCTTGCTATAGATATCTAGTCCTTCACGTTGGGAAAATACCTTTCATTATATGTTTGGACTTTCTCTGACGATAGCAAGAAGTTATTATGTGGGTATGTCTGAAGCAAACATTTTTGAGCACCTCCTACATGCCAGACATTGTGGTGTTGTTGTTGTTCATTGCCATGGAGTCGCTGCCAACTCATGGCAATCTTACGCATAATCGAGCAAAACGTTGCCCAGTCCTGCACCATCTTCATGATCGTCGGTATGTTTGAGTCCATTGTTGCAGCTGTCGTGTCAATCCATCTCACTGAGAGTTTCTCTAGTTTCCTCTGGCCCTCTATCAACCATGATGTCTTTTTCTGCCAGTTGGTCTTTCCTGATGACATTTTCAAAGTAAACGAGCCAAAGTCTCATCATCTTCACTTAAGGAGAATTTCAGTTGTATTTTTTCTAAGACTGATTTGTTTATTCTTCTGGCTGTCCACAGTATATTCAGTATTCTTCACGAACAGCACAATATGGTTTGCGTGCTCCTATGATGCTGGAAGCTATACATTGGTATTTCAAATACCAGCAGATTCAACCATGGTGTACAGGTTTCAGCAGGGCTTCCAAACCAAGACAGACTAGGAAGAAAAGCCTGGCAAGCTACTTCCAAAAATCAACAAATCTGACACATATGGGGTCACCATGGGTCAAAATCAATTCAGCAACAATGACGCACACAAAAAAAAAAATCAGCCAATGAAAACCTTATGGATATTGTGCTAGGTATTGGTAACTAGACCAGTGGTGGCAAACTGGAAGCCCTCAAGTTCTGTTTGGCCGATAGACATGTTTTGTTTGGCCCACCTAATGTTCCAGTGTTTTAAATATTCTAATGATTTGTCTTTTAAAAATCAAAAGATTTCACATACAAATTGAGGTTTTCAGTTTCTTTGGAAAAATCAGAGGCTCTGGCAATACTGGATCTGCATTTCTATAACAGAAGATTGGAGCTGAATAGCTGTCACCGCTTTGGATAGAGCATGATCTCTTCAGTTCACCATAGTCCCCACCATTCCCTATTCTGTCACACCAGGCGTGTTTCAAAGGTTTATTTTGCTTTTCATGCCTGTAGGCATTTGTATTTACAACTGTAGGTTGCTAGATTCTAAGCCTAATGGGATCAGTAAGTTGTGTCTGATTCTTCAACTCTGCTTAGCATTCTTAAATGAGTGAAAAAGTGTACCTGCCCTCGAGGAGTTTATGGCGAGATAATGTCAAAAACCAAGTGACTTTTTGCTTATTCTGCAGTGACTGGAATTTTGGGGTTTATGCTCTTTGAGGAGTCCCTGGGTGATAAAAATGGATAATGTGGTCGGCTGATAACCAAAAGGATGGCAGTTCAGGTCTACTCAGAGGCACCTCAGAAGAAAGGCCTGGTGATCTATTTCCAGAAAGTCCCCATTGAATACCCTGTGGATTACAGTTCTACTCTGACACACATGGGGTTGCCATGAGTTGAGGTCAACCTGACCGCAACTGGTTTATGATCCTTGAATGGGTGGCAGTGCTCTGCAAGGGAAAAACAGTTAAAGAGCCAGTTTTTCTTAATCCCATTCCATTTCCCATCTCCATTGCGGCCTCCTTCCAGGTTTACCTCTGTCTCTGGTTCTGGCAGAGAAGCTAGGGCTTGGATATGGAGGTCAAACATCTGTTGAGTAAACTTGGGATGCTTTAAACCAAGAAATTTTACTTCGTTGTCTACTTAGGTGGTCTGCTCTGCTCAAGACCACGGAAGCTCTTCTGTTTTTTTTTTTTTTTTTTTTCCTTCTATCTGGGGGCTGTCAGTTGTGGTGAAAAACAAGATTATCATAAATCCTCCCAGTTGTAAATGATTTCATAACTATGCTGGCAGTTTTCAAGGCTCTGTTTTAGTCATTTTCCCCCCAAGACTGATTCAGCCCAGTAAATGAGGGAGATTAACTTTATAAATCTTTTTTGAAGCATGTGTGCTATCTTGCACATTTACCTGCTTCTTTGGGACTTAGCAATATTGCATCAAGGAAGAGGGAAAGATGACTAATGAGAGGGTTCTCCAGCTTCTTAGAAGAGAGGGAGGGAGAGAGGGCCTGAGGCAGCACTGAGTGGAGAGATGGTCTCCAAGGAAAACAGTTCAGCAGCAACCACTTATTGAGCTATTACTATGTGCCAGGTACTGTGCTAAGTCCTTTACATTCATTATTTCACTTAATCTTCATGATAGGCTTGTGAAGTATTATCATCCCTGTTTTACAGATAAGAAAACTGAGGGTCAACAACTTTAAGAAAGTTGTGTAGCGTAACGCAGATAAAAAGTGGCAGAGCAGTGACTTGAGTGCAAACTTGCCTACATACTTAACCACGCTATTTTGTCCCATCTTTCACACATGAAAGATTTACTGTTAGAATCTTCAGTCTCAAACATGAGTTTTCTAACTGCATCACTGTTGTCTGGGCCGTTAAAAATAACAGCAGTAATAGTGACAGCAGCAACGGGTTTTCCTGGGTCCCAATCCCTGAGACTCCATAGGTTTGAGATTGGCTTACTAATCTTTATTTCTAATAATTCTTCCAGATTACTTGGGTGCGTATCCAAGGTTTGGACCTACTGAACTAGAACATAACCTTCCTGATGATAGGATCCATGCTCACTACCTTCACATCTACCCTGTTCAGTATTGTGCATCTCATAGGTGCTTGTTGAGTATAAACGAGTCAATTCTACTGCCCTGAATTAGATCCTCTTTTGTTCAAGTGAGACCTTTTTTTCTGGACCAACATTGTTGGTTCTCTATGTCTTGTTGGTCAGCACCTGACATCGAATCGTGCAGCTGTCTGTTGAGGCAGCAGGTGTGTTCTTCGCTGAGTCTCTGACATCCCATTACCTACCAAGCGTTTGTGGGGCAAACTGGCCACTCCCTTTAACAGGTTTTGCATGAAGACTCAGTGGCATGGCACAGGGATGAAGAATTCTGGGGCCCAGCGAACACGATAAGGTTGATGTGGCTCCTCAGCAATCTCGCTGACAAGCAGGCTCCACTCGAGCATGGAGTGATCCTTAGACATGGCCCGTATCGAACATAATTAGGAAACACTAAACTTCAGGGAAGCATTTGGGCTACTACAAGCAGAGACTTCCTTAGATCTCACTTATCTGACATCTCTTATGTCATCTCTACTTTACCCTTTGCAGCTGCATACAGTGTCCTCATATATTAGTCCCTGGGGCTGAGGCGGGACAGAAAGGATGCTGATCTAACATGGGCTTTCTTTCTAGAGTGTGATTGGAGTTGCAATGCATGCAAAGGGCCTCTGAGAACAGACTGCCTGCAGTGCATGGATGGCTACATCCTCCAAGACGGGGCCTGCGTGGAGCAGTGCTCACCACCGTTTTACAGGGACTTGGGCCTCTGCAAGAGTAAGTGTCTGGAGCCCCCACTCTGTGCTCATCCAATATTCCACCTCATCTGGTTTTTACTGTTCTGAGAAGGAGCCTGTGGCAAGACTCCATTCTCTGGTTTTTTATCCAGTTTCTGGTTTCTTTCCTAAGACCTTCTTTTTGTTATAATGAGAATTTATTTCCCTTTTCCTTCTCCCATGCCCAAATACAGCATTCACTAAAATAAGAGGTCAGTATGGGAACTTTAGAGGTGTATGGCCATGTAAACAGGTATGTTTTAGCCATTACCCTTGGACTCTCTTAAAAATTAAATAGTCCTGCCCTCCATGGAGAGGCATGTGTACCGTCGTCATTTGAGTATATGGAAAGACCATATTCTTTCACCTCTATCTGTACACCATATACCTCACCATCACTTCTCTTGGGCCCAGTATCCCCTTCAGCCTCAATTTAGTACCACAAAACCCTCAGATCCTTAAATGCCCACCAGAAGTAGACAGAGAGCATTCCTGCGAAGGAGTATACAGGACTCTGATAACTGGCTTCATCGGTCAGGAAAGTTAACACTTCATTGAAGTAGTACAGAGAGTCAAGGACTGGTTAGTAATAATGATGACTAATATCTGTCAATAACTTTATAGTTTATCTAGTGCTTTTCACTATTTCATTTGATCTTTACCCAAGGGGGTGGGTAAGACATTTATTTCCTCCCATTTTATAGAGTAGGTCATTCATTGAGGCTCAGAGAAGTTGAGTAACTAATCCTAAGTCACACAGCTGGAAAGTACAGTATTCATAACTAGAACTGGGGCTCCTTGATATTTAGTCCAGTGCTTTGCCCAGTAGAGTCTAATTCCTCACCATGAGAGTCAGGAGCCCCTTAGAAAGACAGCAGATTCCTGTTGACTTGACTTTTGTCTTTCAGGCTGTGGCAGCCACTGTCTGCAGTGCCAAGGTCCCAATGAGTGCAACCGCTGTGAAGGGCCATTTCTCCTCTTTGAAGCCCAGTGTGTCCAGGAATGTGGGAAGGGGTACTTTGCAGACCGGAAAACTCACAAATGTACAGGTAACTTGCAGACTGTGCTGAGTACTTTGGAAAGAAGTGAGGGCAGCAAGTCAGTCATGGATACTGATTCTCAGGTAACCAAGCTGAGCATCTATATTAGAAGGAGAATGAAAACCCAGGGAGATCAACCTAAGTAATTGATGGCTTCTCATGCACATCTTGCAATTGCTAGTTAAATAGAATATAGGAGTACAGATTCTCTTGCACAAAGCGATATTGTTCCTAAAGGTCTTCATGGAAACAGACCCAATATTTTATAGAATTTTATGGAATGGAAATTCTTTACTAAGCTAAGCTATTGTTTGTAAACACAAAATCTTAATCTCCTTTTCTACTAGGTCATCCAAGAGAGTTTGTCCAGTTTTTTCTCATTATTTCTATCAAAAAGTTGGTACCATGTGCCCCACTTTAAAGAATACCTGACATATAATAATTGTCATTAACCAGGCATAACATTTTACATTTCATCAGATTCCCTTCATATACATTATCTCCTTTGAGATTCATAATGACTAGGTAAAATATGGCAAACATTATGAACCCTGTTTTACAGGTAGAAAAAAAGAGGCCTAAGAGTATTAACCAGGCAACATAAAATTAGATATTAAAACTGAGTTTTCTGATTCCAGTTCAGCGTCCTTTAAACTATACTATGCTGCTTCTCAATTAAGGAAGCAGAAAAATTGGAGAATAAACACTTAATTTGTAGAGGACTATCGAGGACCACTCTTGGCCCACTGATTAAGCACCTGGCTGCTAACCAAAAAGTTGACAGTTCGAATCCACCAGCCGCTTCACGGGAGAAAGATGTGGCAATCTGCTTCCGTAAAGATTTATAGCCTTGGAAACCATATGGAGCAGTTCTACTCTGTCCTATATGTTCACTGTTATTAACTTGACTCAAATAAATAATACTGTGGTCTTTTAAATAGCTAGCTCTCCTTGTGCATTTAAAATAACAGCAGCAGCAGCAATAATAATAGCAGCAGTGATAGTAGCAGTCTGATTGAGCCTTTACTGTGTGCCAGGTACAGTTCTGGTCGCTTTACATTATAACACATGTAATCCTCCCATTACTACTATCCCCATGTTTGAGAAAACAGGGAGTTAAAGGAACTTGCCCAAGGTATCAAAAGCAAGTAAGTAGTAGAGGAAGCCACCATCCGTCAGTTTGTCCTGCTGTGGTGGCTTGTGTGTTGCTATGATGCTGGAAGCTATGCCATCACTATTTCAAATACCAGCAGGCTCGCCCATGGTGGACAGGTTTCATCAGAGCTTCCAGACTAAGACAGACTAGGAAGAAAGACCTGGTGATCTACTTCTGAAAATCAGCTACTGAAAACCGTATAGATACAACAGAACATTGTCCAATATAGTGCTAGAAGATGAGTCACCAGGTTGAAAAACACTACATACTAGCCACAACAATGGGCTCAAACACGAAAGATCATGAAGATGGCACAGGACTGGGCAACATTTCATTCTGTTATACATAGGTTGCCATGAGTCGGAGCTGACGCAATGGCAGCTAACAAGAACGGCAACAGTAGAGGAGGAATGGAACCAGAAAGAGCCTATGCTCTCAATCCTGTAAACTGTCTCTTTTACAAGTCAATATGATTAACTTCTTAAATGTCCCATCTTAGTGCCACATTTTTGGATCATAGTGTTTAAAGTGAGGAGTACTCCTCTCTATTAAAGTTTGCTTCTGAAGGTAGATCAGTTCCCTATGAAATTCTAAAGGGAAACTGTTGGAATTCTCTTTGGCTATAGTTGGGGGTGATCTGTTGCTTATGCTCTAACTCTTCTGACTGCAGTCCTTTTATATTGTTGTCACTGGCAGGCCTAACTGGGTGCATTTGTTTTGTCTCATTGAAGTGTGTCCTCTCTTTCATAGCCTGCCCTCAAGGGTGCTTGCAGTGTAGCCACAGGGACCAGTGTCACCTCTGTGACCATGGGTTCTTTCTGAAGAGTGGCCTTTGTGTTTCCAACTGTGTTTCTGGCTTCTCCAGCCTCTCCTTTAATGGGACATGTGCTGGTAAGTGCTTATCCTCAGATGGTCTGACTTCACTGGTAATTTCTCCGTGGAAGGTTAAGTTTACAGATACGATTGGCTCATATGATACAAAATGCAATATTTTCATTTTGTGAAAACCTTGATGCCACTCAGGAATAAAGGGCTATTTATAGAATGTGGAAATTAGGAAAACTCAACTTCTATGATCTTTGGAAGGGACAAAGAAGCAATCTTTGTGCTTTAAAAGTCACAACTGTCAATCGGAAATTTGACGTAAAACTTAGCTATGTTCCTGAACTACAGCCATGCTGTAGAAATTATACACACCCACACACCTTTATATATATAACCCCCCAAAAAATCCCCATTGCCATCAAGTCGATTTTGACTCATAGAGACCTTATAGGACAGAGTAGAACTGCCCCATAGAGTTTCCAGGGAGTGGCTGGTAGATTCGAACTGTCAACCTTTTGGTTAGCAGCTGAACACTTAACCACTGTGCCACCAGGGCTCCTTAAATATACACACACATATATATAATTGACTTATCTATATTTATGTAAACTTACAGAGCTAATTAAGGAAGAGTATGCTCGTGCATTCTTTTTGCACACTGTGGAGATAAATTATAAATAAGTTACAAATGGTGTGAGGAGCCTGCCCTGTTAGGTTTACACATTTGAAGGAATTTCAAACCACCCAGCTTTCCATTAAGAATATGATAATATGTTAAAGGAAATCTGTCCCAACGCATTAATAGACTCTTCTGCTTAAACTACAAAGAGAAATTAATTTAAATTCAATCTTAATTTTGAACCCCCAAATTTTTATAGGTGAATGAAACTTGGGAGTTACATTATGACTAAGCTATCCTTAGCTTTTGAGCTTTTGTGTGTCCTTCATCAGTAACATGAGGCAGTTTTAACACCCATAGTCAATTATATTTTCCATCTCTATATTTCTGGCCTCTAAAGATATTAAGACTTCCCCACAAGAAAAAATATCTTGGGCTTATTTTATTGGGATCCATCTGGAAACTTCAAGTACTAGAGAGTCAGCTTACTACTCTCAAGACATAATACAAGTCAACTTGTGAAAATGAATTCTGCTTTCATTAGAATAATCTTACAGTAGAACTAGTCCCTCTGAAATTTGGCATTCCCAGATCCTAACTGGCTTAGTTGTAGAAGAGAACACTACCAGTTAAAGTCCTGACGAAACAACTTACGAATTATTCCTATGTACATTCAGAGTGAGAACCCCTGGGTTAGAAGGAGGTTTATGGTATAGAGTAGCCTAGAATCTCATTTGTGTAGCTCTGAATTAACATTACAAGCCTATTTCTTAAAATACCTTATTAGTGAATGTGCCAAGCCTGACGTTTGGATTCATATGTTTTCCAGGCAAAATACACACCCCTAGTCTTCATGTGAATGGTTCTCTAACCCTTGCAATTGGTTCAGTGAAGCCACTGGATTTTTCCTTCCTGAATGTCCAAGACCAAGATGGCAGAATCGAAGACCTCCTTTTCCATGTCGTGAGCACTCCCACCAATGGCCAGCTAGTGCTCTCAAGGAATGGAAAAGAGGTGCAGCTGGACAAGGCTGGCCATTTTAGCTGGAAAGATGTGAAGGAGAAGAAAGTGCGTTTTGTGCACAGCAAAGAAAAACCCAGGTGACTCAGTATTCTGATGCTTTTCATTCCTGCTTTGGCCCCTCTCTCTCAATCTCTCTTTCTCAATAGCAATCCCTTCTCTTTTGGGGAAGATCGATACTCCACAAGCACCAAGCACTTTCAGCTGCCTGTCATCATGTCACTGTAATTGCTCAAAGGGTGTGCTTCTGTTAGAGACACTGTCATTTTATCACATAATTATGGGTAATTCTCTGATGCAACAGGAAAATTCCTAGTACAATTACCCAGTTTTTGGGCCCAGCAGAAACAAAACCCATTATAGACCCCCATGCTACAGCTGCTGCTTCTTCAACATTTGCATAATATACTGAGGATGAGGGTGGGATAGAAGATGGAGCAGATAATTTTCAAAGTATGGTGTGCTTCCTAGAATCTCAGCATTAGGAGGAAGCTGAGCATCACAGTTCAGTTTATGGGATTAATTGTGGTTAATTTTTAAGCCTGATCCAGTTTTCCCCCATTGCTTAGCACATTTCTGGCTATCTTCCCCACCCCAGCCAACATATGCTTCAGGAATGCAATTGAATGTTAGCACTAACCCAAGCAAATATAGCCCATATAATTAGCAGAGTAAATCTACTAAACTGAAATCAAAGAATGTACCCCAGAGATTAGCCCCTTGTATTATCCTTCACCCTGTTCTGCTTCATTAGTTAGACTATATATGTAAACAAGGAATTGAAACACAAAGAGGACAAGTGAACATTTACTACTGTCAACACACTGAATCTGAGAATTTTTTTTTAAAGGTTGGGCTAGGAGCTAAGTGGGGAGAAAAGTAGATTGCACTACTGCTACTACTGCTACTACTTCAGTGCTAATGATGCCAGTTGCGGTAAAAGATGGTCTAATAAGAATGATAAGACCCTTAACATTTATTGAGTGCTGACTGTGAGTTGGTGTCCCTGGGTGGTGGAAATGATTAAGGAGCTGGGCCACTACTGGAAGATTGGAGGTTCAAGTCCACCTAAAGACACCTCAGAAGAAAAGCCTGGTAATCTACCTCTGAAGAATCAGCCACTGAAAACCCTATGGAGCACAGTTCTACTCTGACACACATAGGGTTGCCGTGAGTCGGGGTTGACTCAACAGCAACTGGTTAACTATGTGCTAGGCATTGTGTTAAGCACTTTCCATGCATTATGCATACTTATGTTTCTAGTCTACAAATGAGGAAACTGAGGCCTTGAGAATACAAGTAATCTTGCCAAAGACTTCACAGCTGATGAATGCAGAGATGGGACTCTAACCAAAGGTTCTCTGATTCTGCAATCCATGCCTGTAGTCACTATGATTTCTGCCTCCCTAATAACACTAGTAATAATTGGGATGCTTCCATTCTCAAGGGGCAGAGTGTCGTTGCATAGAGAAGTATTGCATGAGAGGTGGAGCTTGCAACTCTGGTTGATGTCACAGAATTGCTCTTCAGATTCATGTTGCGTGTCCTGCATTGATTCTGCTGCTAGTATAGTTCTTAAGTGCTTGTATTACACACACACACACAATACACATAACTGCACTGTACTGTCTTTTTTTTTTTTTTTTTCTAGAAAGCTTCTGTTACTGATTTCATTTATTTTTTGAAACACAATAGGAAGCACACTGGTTGTCCTGTTTCTTCAATACCCACCCCCCACCTCCCACCCCCATTTCAGCTTCAGGACATTGGCACCTGCTGTTTGGTCTGTCTGAAATGTTTTTTTGTCCAACTCTTTCTTGCCCTCAGGTCTTGATTGAAATGGCAGATGATTATAGATGCCTTCTCTTATTCTCCATTCAGTGTTTACACACATACACACCATTATTCTCATCACATTCATTTTTTTCCCTCATAATTTTTTATTTTGGTAAAAGTTTAACAGCCAAAGAGACACCATTTCAACAGTTTCTACATGTACTGTTCAGTGACATTGGTTACATTCTTAAGGTTGTGGTACCATTCTCGCTATTCTTTTCCACATTATTCCACCTCAGTTAAACTCACTGACCCCTAAGCTTCCCATCCAACCTTTCGAGTTGCCATTGTCAATTTATCTCACATAGATAATTCTTTTAAAAAGCACAATGCTCAAAGTAGATGTACTTTCGTAAATAAAATAAGCTATTTTTTTGGTTCAAACAAGACTTTAGGGTATAGTTCTGGCTTAAGGTTTAAAGTTTAAAGATTTCTCAGGGAAATAGTTTGGGAGGCTCATCCAGTCTCAATGGCTCCAGAAAATCTGGATTACTGCACTGTACTGTCTTGAGATTACTTATCAAAAGTGTAAAGCTCCATAGACAACCAGTGCATGAATGTTTGCCCTCTTGTCTATTTAACCTCTTTAATCTCTCATTGGAGTTCCTGGGTGGTACAAATAGTTAATGTGCTCAGCAGCTAACCAAAAGATTGGAGGTTCAAGTCTGCCTAGAGGCACCATGGAAGAAAGCCCTGGTGATCTACTTCTGAAAAATCAGCCCTTGAAAAACCCTATGGAGCACAGTTCTACTCTGACACACATAAGGTAGTCATGAGTCTAAGCTGACTTGCGGTAACTGGTTTTTAACTTCTTATCACAAGTTTTCCAACAAAGTCTTAGCTTTGCACTCCTAAATGGAACAAAATACTGGTAACTATCGTCAGGAAATTCTTGTAATACCCTCTCTCTCTCTCTCTCCCTCTCTCTCTCTCTCTCTCTCTCTCTC